AGTACAAAACCTGTTAGGAGGTTCGAATTAGTTCAAGTGGAAAGATTGAAAAGAGCAAGGGGTAGGCCCAAAAGGACGTGGTTGGAAGTAGTCCGAAAAGATATGGGGACTTATGAGCCCACTGAGGATATGACCTTTAATAGAGGAAAATGGAGAACTAGGATTCATGTAGCCGACCTCAATTAATTGGGAAAAGGCTAAAATGATGATGATGATATACATATATATATATATATATATATATATATATATACACACACGAACACAGGCACACGCATATAAGTGTTTGTATATTTGTATAGGTATTTGCATCCCACTCCTCTATTATAAATCTCAAATTAATCCGTCAATCATAGACAACTTGACAAACAAAAAAAGCATAAGTAGACAAATCCATAGTAACAACTCATTTTGAAAAGTTGTATATATAATTACTGAAAGTGAAATAGAAAAGTGCTGGTACTTCATTTGATAATTAATAGCAAAAATAACGGACCTTGCACTCCAGAAAAACCATTCTACAAAATGAAAGAAAGTCTAGATCACTACCTAAAGCTGATTAAATCAGAGCACTACATAAATAAAATACTAATGGATTGCTATGGAATAAATCATTTTAACGAAGAAAAAGGAAAAAAAAAAACAAGAAAAGAAAAGAAATGGACAGAACAAGCTTGTATGTACAAGGAGCTTTAGGGCTTGAAAATGTATGGCACTAAATTACAAATTGCATATATATGCTATACGACCACAAATATAATAAGCGCACACAACATAATAATAGCAAGGGATGCCAGGCTCAAGCAAAGAAATGAGGAGAACAGATATTAAGGGAGATGAATATAGCTCAAGGAAAAGTATACTATAATCCAGGGGACAACAGTAGATAGAACTCGAAAGTGACAGCCGTTACCCGTTCCCACTGGTGAATGGTGGAATTTAACTGGATTAGGCTCAAGGCATTCGACTACGCACACTGCAGCCTCATGGTACCATGTGACATTGTTGTTTGTGGATTGTGGTACACTTTACTCCTACATAAATGCACACCTAAAATGGACTTCTCTTTCATTTGATCCAACTGTAAGAAGACAGTGTCATCTAAAATGGAGGGCTCTTTTCACACAATTATATTAAACAAAAAATATGTTGGAAAACAGTAAAATGGCTCAAGGAAAAACAGACATAAAAATGCACAACACAATGCATAACTTTCAGTCACAAAGAATAAAATGCATATATAAATCAAATAACATAAATGGTCAAAAAATAAAATTAAATACATGATATAATATCTTTAATAAAAACTGTGCAGAAGTATTTATGGTCCCTTCCAATAAAGCAGCAGATATTAAATATTTAGTTAATTAATAAGTCAGTAGCATGGAAACATAACTGTCATTCATAAATGTGGAACTTCATAATTTGTCACAAAATAAAGTCAAAGAGATCATCATCATCAGAGAATAAAGTTAAAGAGATGACCATGTACAATCATCATCATCATTTTAACCTTTTCTCAATTAATTGGGGTTGGCTATATGAATCTTGGTTTTCCATTCTGCGCTATTGAAAGCCATATCCTTTAACTAATGAGCAGTATTTTAGTCCTTTTAACAAATAAGTATCTCTTTCATAAAGAAATCATTGGCATAGAAGTATTTGTTTATTTGCCAGTATTCAAAGTGTAATATTCATTTGTAAATAAGCAAATCTTGATGCCAGTCATACAATATATTGAAATCCAGAAACTGCACAGAAGAATATAACCCTATTAAGCAAGAAAAATCCATTTCAAAAGGATTGCAAAAAACAATTACATGGGTGGAATTCGACCAAGGAGTTGAGGTCCCTCAAGATGTTCCTTCGCCAAATGTGCAGCGATCTCGATAGCATTCCGTAGGCCTGGTCTACAAATTAATAAATTGGATATTCAGGCATCAAAAGCTGGGTATTCGAAATTAGATACAGATCGATATGGAGAATACACCTAAAACTTAGACTCGACCATGAACCAACCAAACCAAGAGCAAACAAGAAGGAAGAAGAAAAAACCATTTTGGGATTGGGCTTGGAATTGATTAGTTAAGATCTTAATGACTACAATACTATACCCCAAGTTCAAATCGTATAGTACTACCCAAGAAAAGAATTATACAAGACACATAATCCTCCCTTAGCATGTAAACTGCATAAGAATCCAGTGGACCCAATTAAATACTTGATACCTGGTACTGCTCCAACAGCTCCAAATGCACCAGAATGTCCATCCATAATACTAGCATCACATTCTACACTGCCATCTTCAGTTAAATTTGAACCTCTTCCTGCATTGGTGCTTGCATCATCCTAAAACAAAAAAGAATAAATATAACAGTGTGATGATTTTTATAGTCATAGTCTCAACAAACTTACATAAGATTGTGTAAATGGATCAGGCTATGGCACAAAATGAATTCCCATACAACAAAATGAATCCCCTTTGTGTATGACACAATTCACAACAAGTCTGATTTCTAATCCTTAAAATAAATGGTCAACAATTTCCTCAAAAAAAACAATGGTCAATAACATGAGCTATGCCAAATAATAATTCCATAAGAAGAAAAAGAAATGAGAGTGAATTACTTAATAAAATATAGTTATGAATAATTATACAATAAAACGATATATACATAATCTATCTGTAGTTTACTTTATCTTTAAATTTTGATAATATTAAAAAAATAAGTATGATAAATCCAAATATAAGAAATACTCTCTCCTAGGAATTGACAAAAAAGCAAAACTACCGTGAATACTGAATGATATCAAACAATTTAGTTTAGTGAAACAGTTTGGCCAGACTTAGTTGTTTAAATGATAAATGGAATTATTAGGAAGAAAACAACCACAGCAGCTTCCCGAATTATATCTTATAATTTACTTCATCATCATATTTCAAGCAAGAGTTATGTAACAATGATGGGAAAGCCTAATTATCATAAATTTTGCAATTAAGAAAAGAAAAAGAGAGGCTCATACAGCTTGCACAATCTTTGGAATTGAAGAATTGGGGATGAAATTTCAAAATGTAGGAATTGAGCTTCCAATGAGACTTCAATTGTCTTCCCAACAGGAAAGGGAGTCAATGGCACAAGCCCTTCAAACGTAGCTTTCTTCAAGCTTTGCTAAAAACCATATTCGACCAATCAAAAGAATAAGGAATTTATCAAGATACCGACCCCAAAAAAAAAGGACATCTTCAAAAGCTTACTCTTTATTGGAAGCCTATGGCCAACAACTAAGATTAAAGAAAAATTATCACCAACTTATTGAACAAGGAAAATGAACAGGATAGTTAGATATACACAAAGCTTAAAAATGAAAATAAGGTATAATGAGAATAAGGAAAGAACAAATATAGGCTAGAAGCAAATGAAGAATCGAGTCCTTACTTCCAATACTTTAATGGCAGCTGATGCAGCATCAATGCATTCGCCAGATTCCTGCATACCATAAAAGTAAAGTAATGCAATAAATTGCTAACAAATATTTGGTTTTATCATGAGTTGTTATTCTCTCATTATATATACCACTTGCAATTAAACAGAGTTTTTGTTTTGAGTGCTTAATCTCTCAATCAGGGTTCTTAAAATCAGATCGGTACCTGAATCCACAAGGCACCAATTCCCAATCCACTGATCTAAATCAGCGATTCACTGATCTGGATTGGTGTAGGAACTATGAACACAACTAACAACCAAAAAAAATAGTTAAAATCAGAAGGTTCTAACTACTAGCTACTTGTCAAAGCCCTTGTTTCATTTGACGTTGCTACTACTAGCTTTGCCTGTTGCCTCTACCGGCTCTGCTAGGCTACACATCAAGCTGCTTGAGAGGGCTTTGAAACTTCCAATAGTTTAGGGGACTTTTTTTGCCAATGTCAAAAAAATTAAGTGAGTTTTGCGACACTAAACATAAAAGTGGGAGTTAAAGAGGACTTTTTGCAGTTGCAAAGCACTCTTAAACTTGTGCTCCGCAACAGCACAAAGCGCAGCCAATAGTTTGACCTTGCTACCACTGACTTTGCTCATTGTTTGCCTTGCCACTGGCTTTGCCCATTGCTACCACTGCTCGAGTGGAGTCATCTTTCATGGTAAGCAAATTCCTTGTACCACCAAGCCGATCTTATCATAGTTCACACAAGAACAACAAGCACTTGAGGAACTTTTAGAAAAGAAGACAAACAAAACAAACCTTAAAACTCTTGAAAAATGGCCTTACCAAACGTCTCATTCGAAACAAGGATCCTCAAGGTTCATGTCCAAAAGACAAGAAGGAAATGAGGTATAAAAGATAAGAACAAACTTCAAGCGGCCAGTCCAAAAGACAAGAAGGAAAACAGCACTAGGTATAAAAGGCAGCCAGTTTAGTCTGTGCTTTAGGCCGACGGCAAGCCTACTAGTTGAAATTTCATTATAGAAATTGTTTAATGTCACCTATAATCGCACCTACCCTTGTCTAGATGACTTACATACCGGTTGTGTCTATAAAGCTACTTTTGGGGTTATGTTTCTAATACCTATACCTTTGTGAGATGCTAACGCACATCTAAGTGTCTTTGTAACATAAACACAAAATAATCAATTTTATTCTACAAAAACAATTGCAAGTAAAAATTAAAGCAAAATAAACACATGTGCGATCACTATAAAACATTTCACATGAATCACCAACAAAAAGAGTCACGCGAATTGATTAATTCGAGTTAGTAAGATAACAATTGAGAACTGAGGTAAAAGCAAACTAGACACATAATTGTTGTGGAAAATGTAGAAAAATTTTTAATGTAAAGATCACAATTCACCAAAAAATAGAGTGGGAAACGCCATGTATACAAGGATTTAACGAGGAAAATTGTGGAGAAATAACTGAAATAGCTTAAAAAAAAAGAGGGAGAGAGAAACCTATATTTAATCACATCCAGCAAACAAGCAGCAAACTAGAGAGAAAGCTAAGATGGAAATATAGATGAGTTAGACATTGCCTTTTAAGTGTGACAAATTCTAGAATGATAAAACATTTGAAAATGGAAGAGAGAGAGAGAAGTGAGTTGTAGACATAGAGATTCAATTCTAGGTTAAAATGGGCAAAAGAAGAGAAGAGAGATGGAAACCAGAATGGAGATAATATATGTTAGAGAAAGAGAGAAAAAATATATTAGAGAGAGGTGGGACAATAGAGAGAGAGAGATGGAGAGACATAAAGTGAACTTGAACTTTGATATAATGAAATAATTTTAATGGAGGGAAAGAGAGAGAGAGAGGGAGAGGGATCAGAAAAGGACCTTGGAGAGAATGGAAGCAGCAGCGAGGCAGGCTCTCCTCATGGCTCGCCCGTAGGCTTTGTGGTTGGAAGGGGAATGATAACCAGCCCCCACATGCACTGCCACAAAAAACCGAACGGGGCTTCTCCATTATGCCTTCTCTCTCTCTCTCTCTCTCTCTCTCCTGAGATTCAACAAGGTCTCTCTCTCCGGGATCAGCTCACTCCCTTTCTCTCTCTAGGATTTTGCAATAGCTGTCTCTCTCTAGGATCAGAGCTCTCCCTCACTCTCTCTCTCCAGGATATAGCACAGCTCTCTGCTCTCTTCTCTCACTACACCCTGAATCGCAACGGGCTCTCTCACTCCGGGATTCTCTCCCCCTCTCCGCCCTGAGGGTTACCTAGATCTCTCTCTCTAGCCTACCAATGCCTGTCCCTCTCTGTGAGCTTCACCAATGTGGTGCTCTCTCTCTCTAGATTACCTGCCAATAACTTTCTCTCTCTAGAGTATACTCGCTCTTTTAGCAATTTGGAGCTCTCTCTCTCCTATGTGAGCTTTACCAATGCGGTGCTCTCTCTCTAGATTACCTACCAATGTCTGTCTCTCTCTAGAGTATTACGCGCTCATTTACCAATTTGGCGCTCTCTCCTCTGTGAGCTTCACCAACGTGGTGTTCACTCTCTCTCTAGATTACGTACCTATACATCTCTCTCTCTAGAGACTACGCGCTCATTTACACTCGGAGGTCTCTCTCTCTAGAGCACGCGCGCTCGCTCATTCACCAATTGCGAGCCCCCCCGCCCCTCTCTCTCTCTTGCTTTCACCGAGGCCTCTCTCTCCTGAACCAACGGTGGATGTTCCATGGTCCCTGGAGGTGTTTGGCAACACGTATTTTGGGTCCGGGTACCCGAAATTTCTAGTTTGCAGTAGAAGTTCCTTGTTTGCCAACATGAATTTCTTCTAATTTTTCAGCTTAGAAATTTCAATAGGAAAAAGTTTATATAATATTGCAACTAGAATTAAGGTTATCTAAAACTTATTTAATATTTTGTATTTTTTTTGTTTCACCCTAAAACTCATTTTTTGTATTGTTTTAAGCTTATATAATATTTTTTAGATATTCCTCTAAATCTCTACAGTATAAATCCCTATTTTAAATTTTTTATTTTTTTAAATATTTTTTTTAAAAATACATTTCAATCTACATTGCTAATCCAATGATCCAACTCAAATCCCAGATAAACGGTTCACCAAATGGGTTTTGAAACATTGCTTTATACTTTTATGATTTTAGAAAGTCAGTGTAAGATTTGTATAAGGTTCCATCCTTATACTTTCCAGACAATGCTTTATAGTTTTATAACTGATGTGGTTTCTATAAAGCTTAGGCTTATGGAATAAAGTAAAACCTCACCTCAAATGCTCGTCTTGAAAGCACTTTAGACATAAAAAATCTGCATGATGTCTCTAAAATCAATTTTCAAAACTGACTACAAAATTTGAAGCTAAAAGAAAGTTACCGATATTGTGGATTTGTAAACAATTTTTTTAAAGGTAAAATAGATGGTTTAAATAGTATATTACATTATACACTATTTTTAGCCCTTCAAATCGTAATTTTTTTTCACAAACCACATCGTCAGCTAAAATGAAAGTTTTCCAATACCATAAGGATGAGATGATCAATTTAATGGTTTTCCAACACCAAAATTATAATTTTCGAAAAATTTTGAGCTTGCAACCTTGTCAAAAACATTTTCTTTTTTATTATGTTGCGGTTTGTATAAGGTCGAGGCCCTAAACAATCAAAATACGACACACCTTCAAATAGTATTGAAAAGACGTTTTAGCATTAAAAATATTGATGATGGTTTGAAAAATTATTTTTATCTCTAATTACAAAATTTATAGCTTAAAAAGTAGTGTACATCAAGCAAATCTATGAATTCTTGAAAATCGTAGAAATTAACAATCTAGATAGTGCATTACATGATGCCCTATTTTTAAGACTTGAAGTTCAATTTTTTTTTGTTTTTTTACGTTCATGTATCTCAAGGCCATGATGATTAGTTTTGAGGCCCATTTGATTGTTCAGGGCCTCAACCTTATATAAACTAATGAAAATTAGATTTTTGGCATCGGAAGAGCTTCAACTCGATCATTATGGATGTAAAAATAAAAAAAAGATTTAAAATCCTAAAAACAATATGTAATATAACACATTATACAGACCATTTATTTTGCTCTAAAAATAAGTGTTCATGAATCTATAAAGACCTATACCATTATTTGAGCTACAAAATTTATAATCGGTGGTGGAAATTGATGTAGAGCAATCATAGAGATTTCATATGCCCAAAGCACTTTCCAAACAAAAATATAAGGTGAGGTTTTACTTTGAGAGGTTTTACTTTGTTTTCTCAAAGTAAAACACATCATTAAATAGTGTCGAGAAATATAATTTCAATACTGAAAATCTTTACGATAGTATTAAAATATATTTTCATATTTAATTGTGACATTTAAAGCTTAAAAAATAGTGTAGATCAAGCATATCTATGAAAAATCGATAATCTTGAAAATGGATGATCAAAAAATACATTACAATATACACACTATTTTTCTCCTCTCCTTGCATCTTGATATCGAGAGATCAATTTGAATATATCTCGGCATCAAAACAACATTCAAAATTTGGAGGTAGGCTGTAATTTGATTGTTGAGAACCTCGGCTCCATATAAACATTTCCCTCACGTAAATCATAGGGGCCCCCATAGAGACTCCATCTTTCGTTTTTATTATACGAGCAGGGTTTAGGAAGCATGCGTAATTCGACTCGTATTTCAGCGGAGATTGAATTGAATAAAGTCAATAAAAACACTCGAAAGAACAAAACTCAAAAGAGAGAGGGGGAGAGAGAAATTGCAGACGGATTAAAAAGCGAGAGAGGGAGCGACGAATATTGAAGGGCGAGAGTTGAATTGAAAGAGGAGAAAGAGAAAATGGCGAGTGGTTGCAGATACGAGTTAAAGCAGAATGCTTACATGAAGGTGGTGCTTCATGCCCTAAAGTACAATACCACCTCTGTTAATGGCATTCTTGTTGGCCGTGAACCTTCGAGTTCTTCTTCATCAATGGTTGAGATCGTCGATGCAATTCCCCTCTCTCATTCTCTGATCGGCCTGCTCCCGCCTCTCGAGATCGCACTTATGCTCGTCAGTTTCTCTCTATTTCCTTCTGCTCTTTAACTTTAGGCGTTTCTCTCCATTTCCTTCTGCTCTTTAACTTTAGGCGTTTCTCTCCATTTCCTTCTGCTCTTTAACCTTAGGCATCATTCACTTGCTATAAACCCTAGATTTACTGGACCACTTTGCTTCCCCTCTTGTTATTTTTGTTTTGTCCATTTGAATTTGAGCGCAATTATAGTGTGTTTGAAGCGATCTCCTTTTGTTCTTTAGTAGTTTCGGGGTCTTTTCCTTGAAATTTTGGTTTTTCTTTTTCTTCTTTGACTGTTGGGGTTCCAAGGATTTCTCAATCAGGGTTATTGAATAGTGGTTTATTTATTTATTATTTTAATGGGAAACCTTTCGGTTTATATCTGCAAATTATCAAAAAATGAAAAAGAAAAACTGACTTAGCGACTTCATATGTGAAGTCTATGGATATGATTATTGTGATTGTAGAGTGCCTGAGGGCCTCATTGCTAGTTAATACTTGGTTTATCTGAAGAATGGTTACATATTTATGTGAAGCTTTTTTAGTTAAACACTTAACTGGTAGGTAACAATGAACTCTTACAAGGATAATACAGTTAGTGAGTTAGATCAATTGTGATCTAAATCCCATTCATTTAACTTTTTTTTTTTGGGGGGTAATTTTTGTTGGATGATATTTTGACTAGTATTTAGTACAGTTTTGATAACTTCGCCATGGCCAGTCCCGAGCTGGTCATGCTGGTCTCAAACCCAAATAATGGAGGGGGATTGTATTAGGTAAGACAGCCAGCGTGACTTTGTGACGTCTTTTCATGAATGTTGAACCTATGATGGCAGAGCATGACTCGTGTAGCCGATCCCAAATAGTTGGGATAAGGCTCGGATGATGATTTAGTACAATTTTCATATTCAGTGTTTCTATGGGTTATATTTGCGTGGTTTCTCTCATTTTACTGATCTATTAACTGTTATTTTGATTGGTATGCTTTGGTTTTAATTGTATGAATGAAATAGGTGGAGGAGTATTTCGCAGGCGAGGGATTGAGTATAATTGGATATTATCATGCTAATGAAAGATATAATGAGTTTGAGCTACCAAACATAGCTAAGAGAATTGGTGAGCATATATCGCGCTATTTTCCACAAGCAGCGGTACTTTTGGTAGGTGGGGTTTATTGCTTCTTTTTTAACATCCAAGTTGAGTAGTTGTTGGTTCATTGCTATTAGAATCCGACTGGCCACCGAATTGGTGAGGGTATGTTTTAGTTAAACTTGATCCAACTGCTAATCAAACAAGTTGTACATAATTTTTTTTTAAAAAAAAAAGAAAAAGAAAAATAAGAATAGTGGTTTAAACATAAAATATATTACAAAAAATTTGTCCAACTTTGTTTAACCAGTAATGATGGTCAAAATCGACTGATCCAACCTGCAAAAACTAGTCAAATATTGGTTTTGACTGGGTTTTGACCAAACTCGATTTTTGCTTTGGGCAAGATTGGCCAATGCACTGGTTGGATATCCGATTGGTCGAACAGGGTAGTCCATCTAGTCCAGACCGACTTGGTGGTTCTACCATTCGGACAACTGGCTGGTGCCTTAGCCACTTTGGTCCAAGGTAAAAATCGAATTTGTTCGAAAATCGGTCAAAACCAATGTTTGACCAGTTTTGGTCGGTCGGACCAATCGATTTTAACCGGTTCGACCAGTTAATTGAAGTTTGGTCAAAATCGACTAATCCAACTGGCCAAAACTAGTCAAATATTGATTTTGATTGGGTTTTGACCAAACTTGATTTTCACTTTGAGCTGGATTGACCAACGCACTGCTTGGCTGTTCGACTAGTCAGACGGACTAGGGCAGTCCGTCCAGTTTGATAACTATCATTTAATGCGCTAGTGAAATGTTGGGGACATAGTTATCAAGACTTGACCAAATTGGTGGTTCCACCAGTTGGACAATTGACTGGTGCCTTGGCCAATCTGGTCCAAGGTAAAAATCGAGTTTGTTTGAAAATCGGTCAGAACCAATGTTTGGCCAGTTTTGGTTGGTCGGACCAGTCGATTTTAACCGGTTCGACAAGCTAAATGAAGTTGGGCAAGACTTTTATATATTTTATATTTTTTAACAACTATATCTATTTTTCTTTTTTTTTTTGCAAAAATCTAGTCCAACTGGTTTGACTAGTGGTTGAACTGGTTTAAATTGAACCAACACTTGCCCGGCTTAGTGGCTAGTTCGATCCTGATAACACTGGCTAAGGATGCTGCTTTGTTGTCAATGATGGCGTATATGTGTAAAAACCTCTTAGCTGGACAATAAGAAGCTTGAGGCAATCTCCGAAGGAAAGAGCAGGGAGCCCGTTGTACAGGTATAGTCTTTCTTTTTGAATGATTATTGTTAGTTGCTTATTCATAGAGAACTTTTGCTATGGCACCATCACATGGCTTTAATGTGAACCACTATCAAATTTCTTGGCATTGGTTCATCATCAGGATTCATTCGCCTCCTTTATTTTTCTGCTTGTTTGCTTTAACATTAAATCATGAGACATAGGCTACTCCTAGGAATGGAGTTTGTGTGAATTCTACTACTAAGCTATGGACAAAGATGGTTTCTTAATTAAATCCAAACTTGATCATTACATCATTGCACCTGCTGGTCACCGAAACTTAGGAAAATTGAAGCTTAAAGGTATCGATTTTCTTAGAAGCAAGATCCCTTTGCGTATATCTTACTGTGGGACACTTTTAACTTTAAACAGGCGTCTCTTTTGTGTTCCTGTGTCTGTGGGTACTGAAGTTTATTTCCGAGTTCAATCACCAAGCTAGAGGAGAAATCTTCTTTTTACACCCTCATCTGTGGCATTAAGGTCGCATCCAAGGATGACACTGATGACATTTGGCATCCAAGGCTGACACTGATGGCCTTTGTTGTCATTACCCTCTCTGTCTTTCTCTTATGGCTTGAGCATGAGTCCTTGTTGACAACATGCCCTCAATTAAAATATACCTTTGTTGAAACACCGTCTCTCCCTCTCCATGTCTTTGTGAGGCCAGAATTCTTCCAAAGGCAAGAATGTGCCTTGTCAAGGGTATAACGTTGCCATGCACACCTTGGTTCATCATGCATCTCATATTGATATTGACGTCATGTGGGTTGCACACTAAAATTACCGTTTTTTGGGTGATTTAAGTCTCCTCTTCCAGTAGGGATCATTTCCATCTGCGAGCTTGCTTGAAGGAAATGAGCTGGAGGATGTCGAGCAGTAAATCTCATATCCAATTTCCTTCCAACTTTATCTCAAATGCTACCCACTTTCCTCTAGGGCACATCTTTAGATGAATGTCAACTACAATTTCTTCCAAACACAACTACAATCTCCTTATCTAATTGCTCTAAGATTCTGCATAATTATCTTCAGGTCTGGAACCTCAATAAAGAGAACTTTTCAATGCTCCAATTTCTGCCACCCATTTACCAAAATTTCCAGAACATCAGGCCCTTTTCTAAATTGAAAGATATCCCTTGTTATGCACGTGTGCCTTCCATGCATATAATGTGATTGTTTGCATGCTCTCCTATGATGCTGTCCCTTCTTGGACGTCCGCTGATCACATATTGCTTGGTCTTCTGTGCTTTTGCATCATGTTGATCGTGTGATTGTATACAATGTTTACTTGTGTACAATTGTGCATGCACAGTTGCCCCTGTGCGTATATGTTCTATGCATATGTCTACTCATTCCATACATGCCTACATATGTGTACATAAGCCTCAAGAGTGATTTTATGCCTGTGTTATGCAGTGCTTTGCCTTTAGGTGAATTACTGGGAAGATAACTCACTCAGGCAGAACTTCACAGCACTCCCCCTTTCCCCCCTCCAAAAAAAAAGAAAGAAAAGAAAAAGAAAATTATAACACTCACTTTGTAAAGGCCTATACATTTACATGTGTATGTGGAGGTAGGATGGCCCGGTGTTGGAAAATTGGGGAGAGTCTGCTCGGACTTGATGGAGTCACTTTAGCTCGGCGCCCTGCCGGGTCTGAAACATACACATGGAACTGTCTGAGTCTGTCCAGTTCCCATTATTTTATTCACGGCCAAGTTTCTGACAGACTTGACCGAGTCTGTCAGACCTGCTATTTCATGCTTTCTAACACTGGTTTGGGGTTTGGGCTCAGTAAAGACCACTTTGCAGTGGTAGTGTAAAAGCGAGGATACAGAGGAATGGGACGGGCTTTGCTGAAAAAAGTGATATGGAGTTTTTCACACATTTTCATGTTTCTCTTCTCCATAATCTTGCTGCCTTACTCCTTTGTTGTCTTCCTTTAGAGATGGTTCTGGTGTGGGATATGGCTCTGCTATGGCTTCTCTCTCTCTCTCTCTCTCACACACACACACACACACATGGTGGTTATGAAAAGTACAAAAAACAAAAAAAAAGACTAGCCTCAAGTGTACATCCTCTCTAAGAGTCCTCCATACAAAAACTTGATCCCTTGCTAAGTTTTGCCTTTTCATGCCGCCTCGGCATCATGTGGTTGCTTAGTCATGGCTATTTATTTGGGACATCAGGCGTCATCTTTTTTTTTCCCCCACTATCAGGCTTCATCTTATTTCATGTACTTCTGCAATACATGCACATTTATACAAGAAAAATTGCTTGGTGAACTTGAAAACTTACCCACTACCTTCCCCGTGTGGCCTTACGTTCCAAATGCATTCCCTTTTTGAAGGAACTTGCAAAGTATCTTATGTGAATTGTTTTTGTGACATATATCATTCCTACTAGTCATTTTTTTGGACAAAAAATATACGATTTGTAGATCAAATAAATTTTAAAAATTTAGAATATATATATTTCTTAATTTCTCTATGGTTGTGCTAAATGCTAATTAACAAAATCTTGCATTGAATAAATTTTTTACTCAGATTCTTTTAGGAAATTGTGCGACTAATCTAGTTTCTTGTAGTCTGACATCTTTGGTGCACTCGTAGGCCACACTTGTGTCTTTTTTTCATGGAGCTGTTGCTTTGAGCTGTTGGTTCAACCTTAAGTTTAAGCTTGACATATACCAAGGTTTTAAAAATTGCTGATCCGGATCGGAATTGTCTGACCCAGATTGAGAATCAATTGGGGACGATCCGGTTCCACAAACTATCGGGAACTAGGTCGTTCCCCTTATGAACCGGCCGGTTCTTGAAAGAACTGGCTGGAAAGAATTGGCCGGTCTTGTTAGGGAACTGGCCGTTCTATCAAGAACCAACCAAACAGCCCCTACTTTATATTTTTATTATTTTTTTCCTTTTTAATTTTTATGCACTATTTTTTCTTAATTTAAAGAGGGGTGGTTGAGGGCCCACCCCTCTATTTCCAAACAGAATGCCAGATGTGCGACTCAACCATTGTCATTGTGAACCCTTTTATAGCCACCCCTCATTCTCTTCCTCTTCTCCCTGATGTGGGATAAAAGGTCCCTTCCTTTTCAAAAAGGAATCTTGTACTCAAGAGCCACCATGTTTTTGTTTTTATGGTAAATACAGCCACCACGTCCATATATGACTCTCAAGGCTTAGCCCATGTCCATATTTGACACTCAAGTCTTAGCTTCCCTGGACTTGTCTCCCCATTGAGATGGCCAAAATTTCGCAAATGTTGTTGAAATTTTAAAACCGAATTTCTTTCAAAAGTTCAGCTTATTAAACTTAAAAATGCATTTTACTTTGAATATTCCAACTTTATAGCATAAACAATGCAACTTGTGTACATAATATGAGAGCCACCATGTTCCTTATGATTTGCAACTCGTGTACATAATATAAGAGCCACCATGTTCCTTATGATTTGCAACTCGTGTATGTAATATTAAGAACAATATTGTGTATAGACTTTATACACTACATGGTCCCTTATGATTTGCATTGTGTACATAATATCAAGAGCCACCACGTTCACCAGCAATTCGAATCAAACCATGGCGAAATAAAATTGGGCGCAACAAGAAGCTTAGACTGGTTACAGGAAAAAAAGAAAAGTTTTACAACAGTGAAGTAAAAAGAAAATTTAACCTGCTACTCGAGGACAAGAATAGATCAGTTAAAATGAAGAAGCAAAAGAAAATTTAGAAAAAATTTGACATAGTGATGTAGCGAATGGGGGATTTCCACAAAAAAATAAAAGATAGTACAAAAATCAGATTTTTTTTATAAAAAAATTGACATAGTGATATAGCAAATGAGGGATTTCCACAAAAAAAAGATAGACAAAAATCAGAAAAAAAATGATTTGATGCTTAGACATATGCAACTTCTTACTATAAAAATATGAATGGAAATAAATAAGTAATTTAATAAATTAATTTTTAAGGAAAAGAAAAAATAAAAGAAATGAGTAGGAAAGATCCCCTATCTATGAAATAACTGGTAATGGAGATTATTAAAATATAAACATAAAAAAAATTTGGGTTAGAGAGATCTATGTTGTTGCAATGAGTTGCATTTTAAAATTCATTTTGACTATGACATGGATTTAGTGGTCAACAGACACTTAGGCATGAAACAAGTTATCAATATTTACATATTTTTGATAAAATAATGAAATCTGTCGTGCCAGACCCCCAATTTCTTTGGAAACATAAGAAACTAGATTTTTAGTATTTGTTGAAATTTTTCTGAGCCCAAAACTGGCTGATTTGGATGATTCTTCGATCTGGATTGCTGATCCATTGATCTGACCCGGTTTTTCCGGATAGGCGATTTGGGTCACCAATCCGTTTTTTTAAACATTGACATATACTTTAGACTGATGGATGGAAGTTCAGTTAAAACGGTTGAAATTCTTGAAGTGAGTTAAAAACTGGCCCAAAAGTGTGTATCTATAGAGCTGTGATATTTTTATGAGAACATGTGTGCTTTACCTTCGAAGTTTATATCTGTTTCAAACAATAGTTGGTGACTATACAATGGTTTGATTGGGTTTAATTCAGTTGTCCTAACCTTTTCAGTTGTTTATATCTGACTTTCATATTCAAAACTAGTTTTTTTTTTTTTCCTTTTTTTTGACTATTTATCAGTTTCTAGATGAAAGACCTGCTCTGATATCTGAATGATATTTAGTTTTTGATTGCTTCATAAATGTGATACAACATGATATTTTGATGCTTTCTGTTTTGTTGATGAAAGTTTTTGTTCTAGCCACAATTTTGGAAATCTTGAATTAGTGGTGCAGTGAACATGTTTCACCATTACATGGAAGCTGTTCCATTGTTCTACCATCTAGAGAATAGTGGTATTGGTTGTGTTAGGTGACTGCAAATAATGCTATTACTTATGAGGCATTTTAATCATTTTGACAGGCGTCTCAAACTCATAGTGATATTTCGGTATTTTAAAAGTTTGTGCCTTTCCCTCTCATTGGGCTCTCATTTGGCCCTTTTACTTATTAGTACCATGATTATGGTGGTTTCCAACATTTCCATTATCGTAACCATCTTGTGCATACCGTCGGGCGTTAAAGAAAGAGCACCACAACCTTCAAAAGGCTTTACCCTAACCATCTTGTGCATACCGTCAGGCGTAAAGGAAAGAGCACCACAACCTCCAAAAGGCTTTGAAGTTTTAGTAGCAATGCAAACATTCAATTTGTGGTGTACTAAGGTCGACCTTCTTGTGGCCTTTGAAGTTGTTCGGTAGCCATGGTGTGGCAGTAGATACCAATTTCTAGTGGCTCTCTTTTATCTAATTGAGACAGCTTTCTTCTGAATGCATGATCATCGAGACATATGCACTTTAACTTCTTGTACAGAACCTCATTGGCAAATCCCTTTCGGTTACGAGTTACTTGATCTTTGTTGTGAACCTTAGAAAATCCTACACACTAAGACTCACAATGTTCACCCACTGCTTTTTTTGAGTTGCTTGTGCATTTACGAGTTAGGACCTCTATGGTTTCGTAGCAGGCGTGGGTGAACCCTGGGCCGGTTATTTGCCAACCCTACTTGTAGAGCGGGCTAAGTTTTTATCTTTCTAAATAATCCAAGCACATCAAAAGAAATCTGATAGCACTAGTAGGTCTTTGGTAATTATTTCCTTAAATCTAATCAAGCAGCTTCGAAATCCATTTTTCGTTGTCTTCAATTGTTCTTTCCTTCAATTCAAGTCTAAATAGGTGACTCTTAATGGTTCTTCCTCTCAAAGTCCTGTGGCTATGCTTTTACTGCAGCTGTACACAAAGGATTCGGCGAAAGGCTGGCAGAAAGCTGGAACGGATTCAAATGGGCTGCTGGTTTTGAAAGAACCGTCTGCCAATTTGGTGTTGTGGGACCATATTACATCTGGGAAGCACCATGAAATTGTAGATTTCGATGACCATCTTGATAACATCAGCAAGTAAGTGAAGATCATAGATCTTACTTTGGTAAGTTTTTGTGCATGTGTATTGTCTGTCTCATTTAAGTATTTTTTCTCTTTGTTTCTGTGATCCTTTGCAGGGACTGGTTGAACCCTAATCTTTTCATTTAAATTGCCTGCAATTCTCCGACCTTTATTGAACCATCTGCATCAGTTTTGGTTCTTTTGTCTTTTTCTCTTTGAGGTATTGTATCTGGACAAATGGTTCAAGAATGCATTTTTGAAAGGCAAACTCTTATTTAATGGTACAGAGTGCTCTGGATAGTGTAAACCTAGCTTCAAAATGTTGAACTAGAATATTTTCTGACTGTGGATTGGAACTTTACCCTAAGTTGGATATCTGCTGAAGATTTTTGCCATGATATGTTGATATTCCTTTTTTATGGGTGGTTTAGTGGGGAAAGGGTCCCCTAAATATAGGGATGGCAATGGACTTGGACCCGACAGGTAGAGACCCGAACCGGGTATAGGTATGGGATCAAAAACTTTGGGTCTGGGTCCTTGTGGACAGTGTTGATATTTAAATAATATTTAAATAAATTTGGCTTGGCTTGGAAAGCAAGCATATAGTTATAGTATTTAAATATTATTTAACAAATTTATGAAATATATTTATATATTTTGATTTTTTGATTGGGTTTGGGTCTGGGTCTGGGTCCCATAATATTTTTTGGATCTAGGTCCGGGTAAGTTGATATCCTTCCCCGACATGATTAAAATTTTCTCAGTTGAGATTGAATTAGTTCTCTGTTTCGAGGAAGGGGTATCTCACCTCACCTCTTCCTGTCGATGGCAGGTTGAGGATACGAGTATCATCTGCGCTTCTTGGTGTATTTTCCTTTGAAAAATGAATCTTATTAGTGATTGTTTTTTTTTTTGTGGTTTTGCTTAGAGAGAATTTCCTTCCAAAGTCGACTCCTGAAGTTATGCCTTTCAATATCGAGTATCGGGTATCGGGACTCAAGTCAAGTAGTTGAGACAAGCTGTTTGCTATTTGTTAGGTGCCCTTCCTTTTGTTTATTAGGTTAGCTCTAAAGGTCAGTGATTCAAGTGACTAAGCAAGGTCTGTTGGCGCTGCATAGAGAACAGTCACTTGCGGTAGTTTCGGGAAGAGAGTAGGCAATTCAGAGAAAGATTCCCGTTTTCGTATGCTCAGCAGGTCAGTTCGGTACTAGTGAATATGAAAGATAGGCTAAGTCAGCTACGGCTAGTCAGACCATTGGATATCAACAGCCGAAGGCTGGTATGTGTCCTTCCTCTGTTCAATTTCCATGAAATTGTTTCAAGCGAAGTGCCAAGGGAGCCAGGACATCTCTTGTTGATGTCCGGCAACTGGGGCCATTTTAAATTTCCAATGGAACCTCAATTTGAATGACAGAGGGATCAATTTGAATGCCTGAGGGAGGGGAATGGCACTTCCACCATCCATTGCTGACATCTGACGGCTGGGGAGATGTGGAATTTCCTATGCGGTCATTGTATGCACACCCTTAGGGAGAATGGACAATTGTATTATAATTAATTAGTTTTGTTGATGAAATTAGGGAGACGAATGGATTTCAAGCTGTTCTTTTCCTTATTGAAAATTAGGCGATGGTCCAAGCGGGGGCGTCCTGGGCCAAGGCAGCCAATGCAGCCAATGCAGCCTAGCCTGATATTGTATTTTCCATTTGTTTTTTTTTTCCTTCGAATCTATTAGGCCTGGCTGACAGGGCCGGGCCGGTGCTAAGGCCGCATCCTGGGCTAGATTTTTCATTGTTTTTTCTGTCTTTTTTTTCCCCTTTGAATCTAACAGGTGTGGCTGACAGGACTGGCCCTATAATGACCCAGGCAACCTCGGGTCGTTGCCGGCCCAAAATCTTATGCCACCATGATGGGTCTCCATAATAGAAGAGATAAGAATGAATATACAGCTATATACCTTTTTTGTATAGAAATATATAAAAACATATTACAACATAATATAAAACCATGATGATTTACTACGGATACGGACACTATTACCGTATTACAACATAAAGGCCGTAATGATTTACCACATGGGCTATTCACACATGGAAAGATTTCTGTCTTAATATTTCTCTCATTTACAATTATATGACCATATTCTATTTTATGTATATGACCACATTCTATTTTATGTATAAATAATGAATACATCACTTTCATATTTTATAATGAATACATCACAGTCAAAAAAATCATACGTTTGATGATGATTTACTACACGAACTACTCACACATGGAAAGACTTCTCTATGCCTTCAATATTTCTGGCTCTGACAATCATATGAGCACATTCTATTTTACGTAGAAATAATGAATACATCACATTCACAATCATACGGGCAATTCTATTTTATGTAAAAATAATGGATACATTACATTCACACATTAAAAAAGAATGTTACCATATTACAATATGCAAAAACCATACTTTTTTATGATGTTTTAAGCTCCTCACATAGCTCTCACACATAAAAGGTTTCTTCTATCCTGCTCTATCTCGTATCTTAATTGTCATATAAGCACATTCTACTTAATAGAAGTCTTCCTTCTATAATTAAAGGATAACATCTTTTTTTAATAACTTTTTTCTTAATATTTGAGTTTCGAAACTACTAATCATACTATTAGAAAAAAAAGAAAAAAAAGGCATATAATAACATTCTAAATAGAAATCTTCACCCTATAATTAAAGGATAACATTTTTTATTATAATGCGAGACATGAATCTACTAATCATAAGATTACAAAAATACGATAAAATAGAAAATAAATATTTGATTTTTTTTGTTGAATAAATATTAAATTATAAATAAATATGTTTATATTCAAGTTGTTTAATTTAAAAATATTAAAATAACTAAAAGTTCAAAAAATTCTAATTAATTATACATTTTCAATCCCCTACGATATTTTAGACTAAAATGAAAAAATATTTGGATGAACTCTATTAACATGTATCTTGAATTCTGAAGTTGTTAAATTCTGAAGTTTAAAATGTACAAGTTCAAATACTTTAGTGTTATAAAAACACTTATAAACATACACAACACATCATGCAAAATAAAAACACTTGTAAACATACACAACACATCATGCAAAATAAAAACACTTATAAACATACACAACACATCATGCAAAATAAAAACACTTAATAAACATACACAACACATCATGCAAAATAAAAACACTTATAAACATACACAACACAATGCAAAATAAGCGTTTCCCACATTTGGAGTGAATCACACCCAAAGCAGGTCGTGGAGTACAGGCCAAATCACACAAAGCAATCCATGCAAAATGCCGGTCTCAAACTCAATATTGTGGTATGACCATTTTATCCATGGTTAATGTTTTGTCTTTCAACTATTTAACTATGTCCTTATGTTGTATAATGTAATAGCATTTAATAGAGATAAGTTTGTCAAAACTGCCAAAATTAAGTTTTCTGACATGTTATACATCATTTTGAAAAAGGGAGATATAGGGATTTAAATAACATTTAAGTACTTTCATAGTGTGATGTCATGAGGTTAAGACAAAGATTTGGGGTTTCTTCGGTTTGGTGAGAAAAACGAAGCAATTCGGTGTTTCGGCCGATTCGTAAAATACTTCAGATTTTTTTTTTTTTAAAATAGAAATAATTAGACATTTATATATAAAAAACATAAAAATAAAAATTTCAAAAAAATAAAGAAAAAAATATTTTTATATAGATATTTCTTTGCTTCAACCGAAGAGGCTGAAGCTTCGGCAAAATCAACCCAAAGTTGGCCAAAGCTGGCCGAAGCAACCCGAAGCTGACCGCGGCGGTAGCACCAAGCTTTGGTTCGCTTTGGTCTAGGCCTAAAATCCGAAGGCTTCGGCCTCTTTGGCTTAAGCAAAGCGAATTTGACAACACTGATTTAGGTTTCTAAAAGAAGTGTTTAGGTTTCTTAAGTATACGTCATAGGTACTACGTCCAGTCAAATTGATACCCAAACCAGTAAATGGCATTCATTTTGAAAATTTAAAGTGTGTGGCTTGTATAAGGCCGCAAGTTTAAACAGTCATATTAAGACACTTCTAAATTTTATCATAAATATAGTTTTGGTGTAAAAACTTATTAGGATGGCTTGAGAATCTTTTTTCATCTCTAATTATGAAATCTTTAATTTCAAAAATAGTTCAAATTAAGTAGATCTATAAATACTTGAAAATCTTAAAAATGAATTACCTAAATAATGTGTTGTAAGATTCACTAGTTTTAGGACTCAAAATCTTTTTTTCTTTTCATATTTATACATCTCGATGTCAAGATGATCATTTAGAGGTCAAAATAACATTTTATGATGAATTTCTAAGGTACATATTAATTCTACGTTTTAATGTTACAACCTTATATAAACTTTTTCCTTTGAATAGCAATTACTATTTCAAACATTACACAATATTTAAAAACCTTCTCCCTAACTTGAGAAGCAATATTTAAAAGCCATCTCCCTAACTTGAGAAGCCTGAATGGTATACCGATTTCAAACCAAAAAAATTCCAGAATTGCTTGAGTCTCCTATTTTTTTTAGTCTTTTTATTTTGTTATAAAAAATTCCCTGATCCAACTTAGGCGAGTCAGACTTGCCCAAATCCGACAAGGGGAACTTGGGCTTGGCCCCTGGCATTAGGGGAACTTGGGCTTGGCCCACATATTGTTATTATATAAATAATATTTAATATATAATATTTTAATAATGAGTTTTTTTAGGCTATATTATTTGGTGGTATATACCCTTAAAGTCCTCGACATTTTTTTGACACGTAGATATCATTATTCTATAGTGTGGTAACTTTTTATCTAGGGGTATTTTAAGTAATTAGTTAAGGGTAAAATAGAAAATTTTAATAGAGACAAAATTATTTATTAACAATAATGAATAATGACATCACGATATTGTGCGTGACATCACTCACAAGATGCATTAATTGTCCTTTAACTATTAATAGAATGCTATTATTTTCTTATAGAAATATCCATTCGACTCTTCTAAATGACCAAAAATGCCCCTACTTATAAAACTTTTGTATTACAATTTAAAAGTATTTAAGTGTCTAAAAATGTTGAGGACTTTAAGAGTATACACTACTTGATGGTGTAGCATAACAAAACCTTTTAATAATATTTAATGAATATATAAATAAATATAACTATATAAATTTAGTTATAATATTTAAAATAATAAATATATATATTTAACCAAATATTTAAATATATTTAAGGAAGCATTATATACATATCCGTTATAGTTTGCGTTATTATGAAGCTACCGAATAGTTTTCATCAGTGTTTAAAAAAACGTCGAGTCGAACCGGACTCGCC